CCAGGGCACGGCAGCCGGTTCTCCTGGCTCTGGCCTCGTGGGACTCGGCAGCCAGGAGCTCAGCCTTTCCTCTGAGTCTACGCGATCTTCTCGGTACCAAGTTTCTGGAATCCGTTTCCCTGTAATCCAGGGCGCGCGCGTTCACCAAATCGTCTATCTTTCAGCGTTGAACCCTTTCATCAGTTGCCCACATATCCAAGCCTACAGCTGAGAGTAGTTTCTCATACCTCAAATGATATGACATTATTTCACTGTAATTTTCACTTTGTTTTCCGCCTGATGAATGATGTCTTGTGTAATCTGAGGTATGTCAAAAACAGTGAGAAAACATTTACTGATATTTGAATTTACATTTTCTTGTTTGGAAAGAAAACGTTTCAAGCCTTCCCCAGACCTTTCAATCCCACTTGAGATTTGATATAAATGAATCATAAGTGGTGACACTCTCTTCCAGTCAATTTTGCAAGCAAAATCTAGTCCTAGAACTCTCAAAAGCACCTATAATCTCTCACATGAGAAATACTTAATTGCAGCCAGCCAGTTTCAGTAGATGCCCCACTTTGTGTAGGAATTTTCTGTGAAAATATATTCATTTGAATATATATATATATTCATTATTCTTCTAACTCCACTTTGAACATGTGGATCTAAAAGCGCTTTCTGAAAGAGTGAGATACCGGTTAACTAGAAAGTGAAGGGATCTTTTTCTCTACTTAAGAGGAATTAGATTTGTTTTGTAAATTATCTGCTGATCTTCCTTTTTATGAAGGTTTGAATGCAAAGACAGTCTCATCTGAAGAAAAGTGTCTTGTCAATTGTATGAGAATTTCTAGCATTTCAATCTTTTCCACATTTGCAACGTAACCTATTGTTTGTCATGGGGTAGGGGGGAACCCAAACTAGAAATTGAAACTTCAAACACTGTTTTGCTCTAAGGCAGTAACATATCTGTAGTTATTGAAGTCACTAAGTTCTACTTAATAGCAAATCTATTTCGGATGGGAAAATTAGACACAGAATTATGTCAAAAAATGGGACATGAAAATAAAAAAGAATTCCTATAAAGCCTCATTTTATTTGGGTTTTTTTCTTTTCATTTAGCATAGCCTTGCCTCCATCTCTATTGCTGACCAAAGGGACGGAGGTTCCCTTTGAATCTGATTTGAACCTCGGAGGCTGTAAGGATTTTGGAGTTGAAACCATGGAGTATGTTACTTTGCTGAATGGAGCAATTAGTTACAATCTATTTACAATGGCCTTTTATTCTTAATTCACTCAGGGGTTACTGGAAGCTCCTAAAATGCATTTCTTGTCCACAGCTGCTTGTCAGACAGCGTGTTCTACATGCACGAAGTCCATCGGGCATTAAAGGCATGCTGAGCATCTAGCAGGGCATGAGAGGGATTCGGTGAAATCAGGAGGCAAATCGTGCTCCTGGCTGGGAAAGGGAGGCAGGGAGGGCATATTGGGGAAGGACAGTCTGAAAATGGTACCGACGTTATCTTGGGTGAAACGGATCCCACGCTGCACTTTGTACTCTGTGCTGTTCGTTGCAGGTAGCCTTGGTTAAACGCTCTGTGAGGGAAACTTTCCGATAAATTTAGCAAGATTAAACCAAGTGCTTCGTTCATTCCCATGTTCAAACCCAAGTGTGTTGGTTGTAATGGGGAACCAAGTGGTTCTGGGAACCACCCACTTCGTAGCAAGAGAGGAAGAGGAACTCTGCATGGGACTGAAGGTGTGAAGAGCAACCGAGGCACTGAGGCCGTCCGTACGGCTACGGCCCGCGCCGTCCCCATCCCCTCTAGGCGCGCAGCTGGGATGGAGGGAAGAGGCAGCGGGGAGCGCGGTGCCACGTGGCTGGATCCCCGAGGCTTCCCAGTGCGCGGCACAGCCGTAGACTGGCTTTATGCCAGCCTCCGGGGCAGAAGTGGGAACTCTGAAGTGACAAGGCCGGGCCAGGGAGCTGCTGCTGCGGCGGTGCCAGGCGTTCCTGCCCTGCACGCGGAGAAGAGCGGCGCGGTGCGCAGGGACGTGTGGCGGCATTTCTGTGGGCGCGTGCTCCTCTCCGAGCGCGGTGCCTGAAATGAAGTTTTCCTTGGGTTTTACCTAGCAGCAGAATTCTTCTAATTTCTTTATTAAGAAAGGAATAATACTTTTGAGACAAAACCCACAGAAGTTACATCAACCATATAAAATATAAATACGTTTCCTCTCCCATTGCATGAATGATGGATTAGCTTTTCACTGGAGAAACTGTGAGTGGGATGTAAGGACCATTTGTATAACTTGCCAAGTAGTCTGTGGTGTACGGCAGCAGGACTGTTATAAAACATGACACTGTAGGAAATATGATTAATGTGTGATGGAAACCCCTTGGTAGGTCGGTTCACTGAGGTACGTGTCCTATCATGAGAGCACCATGGTTTGTATTATGTACAGTGAGCATCTGGACGGAGATAAACTACTACCTGTTGGAGTATTATTTTATCCCGTAATGTGTGAGACTTTTAAAAAAAGTATTATTAATAATACAAGACCTTTGTTTATGGAAGAAAAGCATTTGTCATTTTTCAGGATGAAAAGTGAGTGTAGAAGTGAGGTACCATCCTTTTCTTGAGCAAGACGCGACTCTGACTTCGGGAAGAGAATACATAGAGCTGAACACGAACTTCATGTCCTCATGCTGATTAGCAGCAGATGAGAAGTACGCCGCAGCAGCAGTTGCCTCTAATAGCTGTGGGACGCACAGAGAATGCCAGTTTGCTTTACGAAGCTGACCGAGCAAAACTGCCCGCCTGGCATGTGCTTCGCTTTGTCACCATTATGAGACACCACTTCTACAGGGCACGTGAACACAGTTAAACAAACAAACAAAAAACAGAACAAAAACCGGGGAGCGATTTCCAAATCCCCTAGTACGAGTTTTACGAATGTGGTGTATCCAGACCCCTGATTCTCCATCGCATTAAGGCCCCTCAGGAGTCGCACCCTGGCAACTGTTCAAGCTCCTGTTGATGCATAAACAGGCATGTTTATGAAAACGGAGTAGCTTGGATCTGTTTGTCCCTTTTTGGTTGGTGATGAGCTAATTTTATTTTAAAACTCAAGGGTCTTTCCTGCTTGGTGCATGAAGGGACAGAGTGAACTCAACGGAATGGAAATTTCCTGAATTATAATAATGAGTAATTTTAGCCCTGGCTCTGGGTTAGAGAAGGATACTAGGCTGGTCTAAAGGTGCTGGGACTTTTTTTTTTTTGTTATATTATTGCAGGGAAAATTTACAAAGTTGCAGGACTCCACAACCTGTAATTGATAGTATTTCCTGTAATTTTGTCCTTTTTGTTTAGTTTGACAGGGTTTATTAGCCATGATTTGGGGAAAATTTTAGTATCAACTTTTTAACTTTTTTATAATCTAACTGAAATCTATCAACATTGCATTTATTGTTTACACAATTACTATCTGGAAACTGATAATAGGGCAAAATATCTAGGCATAAAGTATATTCCCAATGTGGCTTTTTTTTTTTATTTTAATGAATTAGTGAGGGGCAGCATTGTCTTCTGTGTACTGAAAGGGAAAAGTAGTTTTGACAACAGAGCTTTGGTGTAGCTTACTTATGTGAGAGCAGAACCAAAAATGAAGATAACTTTCATAAAGAAAATCTATATGTTAAGCCAATGTGTTCAAAATAGTAAATAGCTAATAGCTAAAATATTCGTTAAATGTGCTTTAGATTGTAGAATCTGGCAGTCACATTGTGCAAAAATATTAAGCTATTTTAAAAAGAAAACTACACTGCAAGCTCTCAGTAGAGCTGATAAAATTTGTCTATCAGCTTTTTCACAGGAAAATTGGATTTTCCTTGAATGATTTCTGTGTATATGAAAAGTATCTCTTATGCAAAATTTAAGACACTAAGAAACAAATTTCTCAATTACTTGCTAAAATATTTTGATTTCGATTTACAAGCTTTTCTACCAAAAGGGTAATTAAAAAAAAAAGTCTTTTGTTTAATTTCTCCATGGAAAATAGTCCTTTGTCTGACAAGCTCTCTCTCTGGCCTCCTTTGAAGTGCACATCGTTGTGCTGAAAAATGAGACCATGTCAAAAATGCTGGGGTGTTACTGCTACTGCTCCCCCAAAACGAGGAGAAAAACATTTGAATTAAAACTGAGGCCTGACGCTCATGAAACTTGTCTGTAGGGCTCTGCCTGTGTGACCTCGGCCAAATCATTAAACCACCCACCCTGGGAGGTGACGCGAGGGCACTTCACAGATGCCGGGGCCTGTGCTCTTTGCATTTCAGTTTCTCCGTTCTAAGTGGACCAGCAGCAACTGAGGTATCACACGCATGTCAAGGTGCTCTTTTACGCAAGCCACTGAAGACAAAATGATTTCCGCTTTCAAACGGACTGAGATGTGAACCGTACACTGTTTCTCTAAGCTTTGTTTTCAACACTGAAAGAACCAAAGCCGTTAATAATGAGGACTCTAAGCAGTCCCATTTACGCTAGATATCCCGGTTTTTCTCATCCAAGTTGTTCTTTTTTTTCCAGGCTGCTTCACTTTGAAACACAGCACATCTGAAGGAAAATTGTACCTTGTTTACAAGTACTGCAGCCTGCCAATTACAAGCCCAGCAATAGACATTCCCAGGAAGCAGAGGCTAAGGCATAGCTTAACCGATTGGTATTAACTACAGCTAGGAGAGAACTGTAATTGAAAAAAAAAAAAAAATTATTTCTCTGAGAGAATTTTTCTTCTCCACGCTACACATACATTATAAAATAACTTGGTGACTTGTGCAGTAGTTTAATTTTAGCTCAGAGAGGACTGTATGACCTACAGTTAGATTTGAGTTTTCACAACGTTTGCTGTGTCGTATGGTTAACCTAATAGCACCTGGTTTTAACCGTTCTGTTCCTGCAGTCCTTTTAAAATGTGTAATGTAATACGTGTAACCTCTCAAACATCTGAAGTTGTTTGTAATTTAGGCTTTGGAAACATCTCCCCACGCACACAAGGTGGAAAGATATTCTGTATCATCTATGCCTTACTGGGAATTCCTCTGTTTGGTTTTCTGTTGGCTGGTGTTGGAGACCAACTAGGGACGATCTTTGGAAAAGGAATTGCCAAAGTAGAAGACACCTTTGTTGTGAGTATGCTGACTGCCTCGTTTGTTTTTCATGCTGCTTGCTGTTCTCAAGTTAAGAAGTGAAATGAAAAGTCTGAAAAACAGTGTATAGCTCGCCATTGTAACCAGATGTATAGCAAAAGGTAGGAAGACCTTTGCAAAGTCGGAACACGTTATTGAACGCCTCGAATTGAGAACTGGATGAAGCCCAACATTTTATATGATAATTATAGTTGGGAAGAGGAACAAGATCAAAAATATTTTATTTTTGTTTCACCTGTATAATACTTCTAAGTCTTCTGTGATGCTTACCTTCAAAGGTTTTCGTATAGATTGTGACAAGAAATCAGTGACTCGGATGGAAGGGCGGAGCTGTGGAAATTTAATGCTGCTGCTTTGAGTTGATTCACAGAAAACTTTTGGTGTATGAGTCTAAAAATCACATTTCTTAAAATCTACTCAGATGCCATCATACCCGAGGAAATGCTTACAGCCTGTAGGCACCTACATTTTGAGATTTACGTGTCTGTAGGTGACTAAAGCTTTGGGCATTCACAGAAGCAGGACAGTCTAAATGGTGCAGAGCCTGCTGGTGCGTCCCTGACATTGGACTCCTCTTTGTGGTCTCCTCAGTAGGCTGTAAGATGTTCTACAGTTTAAGGTATTTTCAGCCTCTTCTGCTAAACTGCTTAGCACAGCCTAGACGTTCATGCCCTTCATTTTCTTTACTTATTTCTTGAATCGTGCAAAGTGGCACAGCTTCAGTGGAGGAAGAGACCTGTGAAACAGGCTAGAAGCTTGTGCAGATATTGGTAAAGTTCAGCCATAGCCAGTCCTTGACAACCAAATGCCTTGAATTCTAGCAGAGGAACTTAATTTATTTAAGTTAGTCTCTGTTTCACACACAGAAAAGATTATTAAGGTTGTATTTTACTAATGGAGTTATTAAAAAAGGTATTTACTGAGATTTTTGAAGCATAGAATCATAGAAGCAAAGAGTTTAGGTGTTTTATTAACCTTTAATAAAATGATGCAGGTTTAACTATTACCCAATGTTCAAAAATAGTATTATGAAAGACTATGTCTCTTGATACGTAGAACATGTCATATCCAGCAAATACTTAGGAAGCAAACTGACTTTGTAGCTGTTTGCATCAGCACTTGCAAGTGTTAGAAGGACTGTTTTTCTGCAACAATCCCTAATCTCGCATGCAGGACACCTTTTCTATATGGAAAGGATCTGCCATGGTTTTGTTTTTGAAGTAAAGCAAACTGGGGCTGTACTGAGTAGCCTTATGCAATACAAAAAATACAAGCTTGAAAGATCTTTAAGAAAAGGCAGGTATTTCTGACTTTGAAACACCAGTTCAAGTCCAGACAAGGTACTGGTGAATAACATCCATTTCCATTGAGATTTGTCTAAAAAAAGTAAGAATATTCCATAAGAACATTTTATTTTTATCCTTTCTGTTTTTTTATAACTGAATTTTATTTTTTGCTTGAAAGTACAAAAGTATTGAGACCAATTTGTGTGTCTCAGCCTGTTGCTCAGAGGGATAATGGTCTTCCTTTTTTTGTAATGGATGTATCTCTAAAACAAGAATGCCTCAACATAAAAAAAGCAGCATCTTGCCCCCTTTTGGCAATATCTGAATGAAAACACTGATTTATATGTTGCAGTCTGGAACATTCCTTCTGTTCTGTTTACTAGTTCTCTAAAAAGAACTGGGAGATGCTGATGGGTCAGAACAGGGAATTTCATGTTGCTATAACCCAAACTACTACTATGATTTGGGTTATAAAAGTTGGACCTTGGTCATGCTGACTGTAAAACACAGTTTCCATTGGCAATATACTTAAAAACATGAAAACGTATTGTGAGCCGTCTAATTTCATTTTTGGTCATCTTTTGTGAAAGTTTCCAGTTTTGTGCATTCCCTTGCCTCTTTGAAGTTGAACAAACATGCGTTGGATGGATGGAGAACTCTTTGGAAAAATGTCAAATTGGCAGAGCATTTCAAATGGGACTTTGCAAGTGCTCTCTTCCAGCTTTGGTGCAGTTTAAAAAAATTGTTAATAGATTACACAACAGATAAAAAACTTGGTTCATTAAATCTACTGATTATCTCAAGCTGGGGAGAGAACTAAAAATTGGAGGACAGAATTAGAATTCAAAATTATGTCAAATTTTGAAAAGCAGTTTGAATATATAGGATTGAATTCAAGAAGGACAAATTCAGAGTACTATATGAAGGAATAAGGAAATATGCAATCACATGTCAGGAAACAGGCTGTCTAGGTGCAATTTTGTAGAAATGTTCTGAGGGCTCTAGGGGCTCATGTGCTAACATGGGTTAATGTCATACTGCTGTGAAAAAGCGTACATCATAGTCTGAAGTATAAATAGGAGTGTAAATAAATAAATAGGCAAAGCATAAGAAAGGATACTTCCGTTCTATTTGGTGGGGTTTTTTATATCTAGTTTTGAGTACAACACTCAATGAAACATGGACTAGTTTGCTGGAGCCAAGGGATAGCAGCAAGAATAGACAGGTGAAGAAAGACTGAAAGAAATGCATTTATTTGGTCTAAAGAACATGTGACTGAAAGAAAACACTTGAAGTTTGCTGAAAAAAGCAAAGTAGCAATTTCTTTATTTGCCTTGGATAAGACCATAAATAGTAGACTTAAACTGAAGGAGATGAGATGCATGTTAAGCATTAGGAAAACTTTCTGATGACAAGAACAGATAAGTGTGATCACATGTTCCCTGTCCAGTAATGTGTCTACAGTGGCTTGGGTGGGGTGTTTTTTGTCTTTGGGCAGGTTTGGAAAAGGTGGTCTCTTCATGCCCCTTCCAGCTCTATCTTCTGTGGTTCTCTTTGGCCAGTTACTTGATTAGAGAGAACTGTATGGTTAAAATTCACCATTATTCAGTTATTTGTGGATGCACAGAAGTAGGGACATAGCATGTGCAAGTACTACCTGAAGCTCACTCAAATATTTAGCCCACACTCAAAACTTTAGCGTGATCAGCTGTTAATATTAATGAATGCTACACTCACCCAGATCACAAACGTGGCCACAATGAAAAGTCCAGCCCTGCTCTGCCGTTTCCTGCTGGCAAACGTTTCCTAGGACAGCCGTGTTGGCTTTGAAAAGCCTTTCAAAATAAAACCCTGCTTTGATTTTCCTGATTGAGCATTATAACGCACTGTCCTCTTGAGCAATATGGTGCTCACTGTGGGTGATAGGTTCTTATGTATCATAGTTTTATTAACGATGGGTTTCCTCTTTTCCCTTTCCAGAAATGGAATGTGAGTCAGACAAAGATTCGCATAATTTCAACAATTATATTCATACTATTTGGCTGCGTGCTGTTTGTTGCTCTTCCTGCAGTTATATTCAAGCACATAGAAGGCTGGAGCACACTAGATGCAATTTATTTTGTGGTTATCACTTTAACTACCATTGGATTTGGTGACTATGTTGCAGGTAAGATTTTTCTCATAACTCCTTATCTTATAATATTTTGCACAGTGATATATATACTGCATTTTGGTATTACTTTGGGACAGACACATGTCTGTTGTGGTGCCTCTCTCCCAATTTTACCCTTCATCATTCTTGTGTCAGTACCCATGAGGGGGCTTGCCCTCGTCTTTGATGTGGCAGGCTAGAGACAGAAGGTGGGACAGTGAAATGCGTGGTGCCTGTCTCTGCATACTCCATTTTTTCTTCTCCTGTACTGTTAAAAGATGCTTTACTTAATTTTTAGGTAGATTTTTTTCTTCTTACAGATTGTGTGAAGTGCAAGAATTAATAAAGTATTTTAGTCTGCTGAATATGGGTTTTTTTTCCGCTGCAGCTGCTTAAAATGTCTCACCCTGTGAAGTTATATGACAGGGCTCTTACGTGCATCTCTCACTTTCCAAGTGTTGTTCCAGAGCTCTGTTTCTGCCGTTGAGATGTCTCTGTTGCTGTTGGATCCTCTTTCTGTGCTTTCTTTCTTTTGTTTGCTATGTACGCAGCTGTCCATGTGTATTTGTAAAGTAAGGAGAAGGTTTAGCAAAACCCATAGATAACTTATCCAACTTTTATGGATCTATTAACCCAGATTGGATTGGTTGCAAAGAACTTTGACAAACTGAGCTAAAAAAAGCTTGGGCCAGTTCTCTGTGTCAACTTTTTTCTTGAAAAGGTGTTAGAGGTGTTAGACCACTTCTCAGAATACACTAAATACATGTTGTCTGTGTTGAGAAAGTGTGTTGATCCAAGTCAGTGATGTGAGGTGAGGGTTAGAAATTCAGAGCTTTGTGCTCTGAGTCCAAGACTTCTATTCTTCAGCCTGATCTTATGCTTCTCTTGACACAGCACCGTCACCTCTTTCATGAGATGCCTCTCTCCCACCTCGGAACCCTGTGCAAGGCAGAAGTAGCTGAGGACAGCAGTGCTGGGCTGCTGTCAGTGAGCTATTCTGCGGGAGGGAAGAGTTTCTAGTAGATATCCATGTGGTGTGGGCTCCTCCTGTGTCTCATCTCTAGCCATGGCTGTTGCACGAGTTCAGTGCACTAAGGTGAGGGTCTTAGGCTGAGTAGCTCCTCCTAGTGACTTGTAGGTCTGCCTCAAGTTTGCTTTGATGGCAGGAATGTGACTGGTATTGTCACTGGCAAAAGTTTTTCGGGTTGGAGAAGTCCCACAGAGATCTCTGAAGTGTCTGAACTGTTTGGCATATTCATAAATGATCTGGGTAAAATAGGGGGAAATTTAGTTAATGCTGAAAATATTAAGTTATTCAGACCATTTAAAAAACAAAGGCCATGTAAGAAGTTGCCAAAGATTCTTATAAATTATAGAACTGGGCTGTAAAATGGCAAATGAAATTCATTTGGATTTTTACATAGTTTTTTGTGATGCTTCCATGTTTATTTTGAATGTGTCTCGCTGATTTGTGATGCTGTTCAGATTTTTAACTAGCACCAAATAAAAAATTTATGCTGTTTCCAAGCCAAGAGTCTGCGTATTTGGAACTTTTGTTCCTGAGGGGTACGTGTATGTCAGGGAATAAAAATAATGGTGTGTAAAGGCCTGGTTATATTTACTGTAAGGCATCATGTGAGATGGCCCATTTGGCTATAACTGGAACACTGAGTACATTCATCATTACACTCATTATAAATTTCCGTGGCTTTTTCTATTTGTAGACCACTTGATATCATAATTTGTTCCTATATCATGTCTGGTTTTTAAATTTAACAGGAAACACTCTCTCTTTCTACAGAATGTCCTTGAATTACATTGTTCTATAGCTTATGGCTTTTTATGGTTCACTTCATAAATACAATTTTTTTTTTATTTTAAAGTTCCATTGTAGATGTGTGATGTCAAAATGTCATGCGTGTTTTCTATTTTCTTTTCATGTAACACGCACAAGACCTGTATTTGTACTGTAATACATTATTGACTTAGAGTTTCAGATGTGGGAATTGGATTTGTACTTGCAGAGATGATGCTTAAGAGAACAGAGTTAGACGACTATCTCCATTGTAATGGGGAGGTTAACATTGCCACTGGACTGTATTTGGTCAGAGTTGAAGTTGACAATATTACCGTCTTTGTGTGGCCTAACATACTCAGTATGGCAGATGACTTGAAGGATTTTTCAAAAAGGTCCATTTGTTTTCTTGTCATCCCAGTACATAGTTGTTCAGTTACCTATTTTTTTTGATTTTTTTTTTTAAGGTATTCATTGACTGTGCTTTGCATTGTGGAAGCTTACAGTCGTCGGTGTGCATCAATAAGCTATTTGAAGACAACTGACATTGCAAGTTCTCAATAGAGCTGATAAAACTTGTCTTAAGGGCTGGGCTTCCTTATTAATTTTGAGGAAGTATGTGGAATCTTTTGCATGTTAACAAATTAGTAAGTTATCTTTATGATGTTTTGGTTTGTTTTTCTTCTAGGTAAGTCACAGTTACCATGCAGACACTAAGGGCCATTGATATTTTTGTGGTAGGCTTCATCTAGAGCACTCTCCTGAAAGCTTAGGAAAGCCGAGTGCCACAAACGGAGGCAAAGCAAGCATGCAGGCTTAAGGCATGTAATGTTCTAGAAGGCTGTAGGGGAGGTTGTCATGATAGAATATGGTTATTGCATCTGAAATTGCGTCCCTAGAGCATGGTGTTCTTGGTTCTGGTTTGTGACGGTGAGGCATGCAGCAGGCAGAATGATGCCTCAGTCCACTTGGTGCCTAGAAGGCAATGCCTTTGGAAAAAAACTCACACTGGCATTAATTTACTCCTTTTTCTGATGTTTCCTGCCCAGAAAGGCATGTTTCTTAAATAATAGAGTGAAAATTACCTCCTTCCGCTCAGAATTATAGCCAAATCTAAAACAGAGTGGTGGGCAGTGGTACTCCAATTTGCAATTATAGTGGAGTCAACTCTTTTTAGCAATAAAAATACAATTGTGTTAATACAAGTAATACAAGTATTCTAGTATTTTTTTTCTAGGAACTGTCATGCCAGAGGAAAAAAACAGGTTTGCAAGCCTTGCATACAAACATCATCGTTGTGATAACATGTATTTGGGTTAAAAGAAATATTTCTTACAATATCTGTCATTTTTCATTGACATGGAACTCACTGCTTTCTGGCACCACTGGAGTTAAAAGATGAAAAGAAGCCCTGAAGAAGTTTTAGTAGAGAGAGTGTTTCTGAATAGCTGTACCGAGAGGGAGCCAAGAGAAGAACTTGGGCTTACATAACGTAATGGTGTTAAAGGCTGTAGTGCAGGCTGCCATATTAGAAATTCTTGTAGAGTTCCCCAGAAATTTTTCTACAAGTTTCTTCTCATTTGTACTGGAGAACAAATATGCTGTTCCCAGGAACCAGAATGCCAAAACTTCCCCTTTTGTACTTAGAATCTGGGTTGCTATTTGGAGCCTGTGGCAATTTCAGCTGCAGCGTCCACCGGCAAGAGAAGCCTTAAGGCAAACATAAAAGACCGCTCCCTCCATGTGCATGCAAGGAGGGAAAAGATGAAGAGCCCTTGTCATGCACGTTCAAGGAAATATATGAACAGTATTCCAAAAAACAAACTTAAAGTTTCTGTCGTATGAAACTATTTGATTTTTGTAATTTGAGGGTGTGTGTGTATTTTTTATTTTTGTATGGAAATAAGTAACTTTTTGTCATTTGAAGAAAGTTTATTGTTGTAGCTCTTCACAAGAAAAAAGGAAGCAAGAAACTGTGCTACAGTCTGCACTATCTTATGAAAATCACGACATAGTCAAAGTTCACTTTTCTTGTTTTCAAGAGAAGCTACTGACTTTCATATGACAGAAGAAAATCCAGCTGATATTATGAATATTCTGTGAAAGAGCAAAGAGATATCTTTTCATGTCAAATGTGTCATCTCTTAGTATAATGAAAGATATTATTGGGTACTAAAGTCAGCACTGAGGTACCTATATAAATGTATAACATGACAATATATTGTTCATATGTGCAGATAAATCCTTTAACTACAGTGCAGATTGAAAGGTATGGTCAAATATTTCTAAAGCTGGCTTCAAATCTAAATTAGATTAGATGTCCAAAACTTGACTGAACTAAATGGAGGTCAAAAATATAAACAGCACATCAGTAGTGTATTTCACAGCAGGACATAATGATATAAGGTTGCACTTCAATCAGTCCAATTCAACAGAATTTTGCAAGTCTCCACTTTAAAAACATATTCGAAGGATTTTTCTTGTTGGGTTTTTTTGTGTGGTGTGGGTTTTTTTGTTTTGTTTTGTTTTTCTTCTCTTGTTTGAGCTGGGATTTTTAGCTTATTGCTTCTTTACTCTTTTCGTCTGTAATTGAATTTGATGTATTGCCACTGTAATACAGATATCTGGGTCTGTATGTATTGCTTGGCCTGAGACCCAGTTTGTAGAGTACTGAGATATTTCAGTCTCATTTAATGTCACTGAACTGGAATGCCTCACCTGGTGGTCATAGCAGCCCAGCCGCGCTCTCGCTATGTGATATTACTCACCTGGCAGAAAGACCTCTACAGAAAGAAATTGCCGTCATGCCGAGCAAGAGGCGCGTGTCGAGCGTCCTGTAAGAGCTGTGCAGGCTTTGTGGCTTTTTTTTTGGTATTTGGAAGTGCTTTTTGCTACCTCAGGTCTTCATGTCCGTAATAGGGGCTGTCGGGTGTGAAGCTTAAATCAGCGTGCCGTGTCTCGCTCGGCTGTTGTACAGCACGGCGTGTAAGGAGTGTTTTATAGCTGCGCTTTGTATTCTGAAGTAGCTCTCCATTTTCCACCAAGTGGCATCAAGTAACTTGTGTGGCCTACGTGTATTTTCCCTTGCAATGTTATCTTGTCCCAAGCGTGCCGCTTTTCCACGTCTCCGCACAAGCTAGCCTTGCTCCGTCCCTTTTCACAGTCCCTGGAGGTAATTCCTGTCAAGCTGCAGGGCTGAACCTCCATATTTCTTTGGAGTGGGGTAAATGACACTTCTGGGTTAAGCCTGTTGGCAAGTTTGTGACAACAGGGATGATGGACAGCTACTCGTTATTCTGCGGTTAAAACTCTTTGGGTATAGAAATATGATTAAATCCAGAATAATTTGTACTGCTGATAAATAATGATGTTTCCTGGCTTGAAGGGCCAACTTTTGAATAACCTCGAGGTTTGTGCTGGTATAGAATTAAGATACTCACACCAATAACATTTTCTATTCTCTTCTACTTTTGAAGCAAAAATGCAAACATAACAAGACAACTTTACAGAAATGTTTCTATTTTGAGTCAGTTAGCTGTAGAAAGAATTGGGAAAAGAGTGGCAACAATAAAGAAAATTATCTACTTAAAAAGTAATTGACTTATATATATTTAATTTGTTTATTTACATATTTTTAAAGCCTGATCCCTTACGTGGTAAATAGAATCTGTTTTAAAGCACCCCTGAAATCTTCTCTAATGTCATCCTTCACTAAAACAGAGATTTTCATCTTGGTAAGGAATATGTGTTTGGGCCATAAAACAACCTATGCATTCCAAAGTGTTGAAAATCCCAAACAGTTTAAAAGTTGTTTGGTAGATGTACGAGTGGTGGCAGCAGCAACACAGTAGCCTGTGATGAAGACAGATGGAAAAACTTTGATTTCTCATAGCTTCAAGGGACTTTGTATCAAACCTTTACTACAAAACATCTCTGCAATAAACTCTGGCTCCTCTTGGTAAAAGATTATGGCAGTGAGACTTCTAGTTAGAGTAAGCACACTCCAAGCTGGGAGATATATTTCTTCTTCATTGTGATTGTAACCTATTTCAGGTAGAGGTCAAACAAAGTTGGAAAAAGTTTTGTCCTTTGGCCCACAAAATTGGTTTTGCCAAACAACGAAATTCAGCTTTTGCTTCTTATCTTTTTTGTTTCAGCTTTATAGGCCCTTTAGGGGCTATAAAATAATCTTCTTTTACAAAGAAAGATGATAGCATTATTAAGTAAAAATTATGCTATGAAGAATCCATGAAAATGCATCATGTCGATATGTTTTTTACAATGTTACTGGTAAAATCATTAGATGAATTATCTCATATACTTCAGTACAAATACATTTACCTATACATACTCATACCCAAATACATTCATACCCATTTAAGTGAATTTTAAATCAGTAGTTAATGAATTCAGTACAGTCGACTTTAATCCTATTTTTCTACCAGTGGAATCCTATTTCATGACATTCCCACGTAACTGCGTTATAGCACTCTGTGATGTTTAAGCATCACGGAAGACAATAGTTATCTCGGGACAACGATGCTTAGGCACGTGTGTCTCTCCCTGGAATTCCGTTACATCGAGATCTCACCCAAGGAGCCCCTGAAATTCAGAAACTCAACAGCTAATCAAGACTTCAGCTGTTAAGCCTTTCCCCGGAGGCTTGCCGACTGCCCCTTCCAACTTTAGGAAAGCTGAACTCCTTTGGGCATGGCTAGATGGAGCCATCTCCTGGCCAGACAGTAAAGACAACTCTTCATTGAGTGGGACCGTGTCCTAACTCCTGCCCAAGTAACCTACCGATCTTCTTTACAGCAAGGTTTAAACCGTGAAAGAAATGCTCCCTGCCGGCTGGCAGAGTTACGTTCCAGTCTCAGTACGTAAACTTTACACACAAAAATCTAGAAAGCAGCCGAGTGGACACTTTATATCGTGCTTTCTTGTGGATTGTATGAACAGCTGGAGAAGAAAGCAGACCATCATTATTAGCTCCTGACAGAGCTAAGGCATGATGGTAACTGACCACTTTTTGACTGATGACAAATTTGGGGCAAATCATCCCTAAAATCTTGTTGTACTGGACTGACACGAGCTGGATGATGTTAACAAATTGCTTCATTTCTGATGCTTTGTCTTGGGTTGTGACACACTCGTCCCTTTGGTGGCTGGCCGTCTTCTGCTCCAGGCAGGGCCCTGTCTTCTACCTTACTTGTGACTCTGCAGGTGTTGAAGCGTAGCCGTTTTTCTAATGTGGATTCATTTCTTGAATAGTTGAGCAAACCACTACCGCTCAATGCTTTTTATTGGTGAAAAGGCTTATTGGCACGAGAATAACAAAATTTCTGTCTGAGGGCTTCCACACAAAGATAACTGTCAGTAAAATTCTTAGTTATTTGCATGTAACCTGTGTGACGATTAGATAATAGCAGCTAGGGGAAAACGGTAGTCTTCATCAGAGTTAATTTGTTGCTGTAACAAGGCACTTTGTATTTTGTGGCCAATTTTCCTTCGGCTGTTTCAGTAGAGGATTCATATCCATAAAGCGACATATTAGGTCCCTGTACAGACTACTTGAGTGTTCCCAAAAAGGTTTTGCTGCAGTCTCTTCAACTGTAAGAGCACATCAAACGTCCACGTGCAGCAACCCAAGCTAGGAGCCTGGTTTTACTTGTTGTAACACAGCCGAACTGCACGCTTAAGGCTTCCGTGTTATTGTACCACAAGATGTGAATGAGGAGTTACCTTGCGGTGTTGAGAGCTCTGGATGAACGTTACTTTTTTTTTGTGTGTGGAAATAAGGCATCAGTTCTCTATAGCTGTATTGCGCCTGGAAGCTCCGTTACAGACACGTCTGAAATGGAGCCTTTTTTACTTTAACACTGGAAGGAAGGAAGGGACCGATGCTTAAGGCAGTGGGATTCAAAAAACCTTCCTTCTGCTGCCGGCTATTTTATCCACGTCCTGCGAGTATGCCCGCTTCAGCTCCAGCCCCTACACCCTGCTTCCTTCCTCTGCAAAATGGAGCTGGTCAGGTTTGCCTACCCAACGGGGACACTTGCTAACGCGGTGCTCTTCTTTATTAGGCCTAAAGGAGTCACGTAAGTATTGAGATGTGTTTCCAGGTCCTTGCAAAATGGGATTTCTCGGGATGTGGATACATTGCGCCTTCCAGAGCAATACTTTAAAATTTGGTACCGCATAGCTTCTTGGAGCTGGTGGGAAGTCCTTTCGTTCAAGCTGTCCTCGATGACATCTAGCCGAAATAATGATATAGCAGAAGTTGAATCAGCTTGTGTTGATTTTTTTTTTACATTATTTTGAATGATTAGCAATCATTTTCTAAAATTTACATGTTCCAGACTGTGTTTTCAAGAGTGGATGAATTTAGATCATCATTTATTCAAATTCTGCAAAATGGTTTACTATGAGTTTTTGCATAGGTAAGAAAATAGAAGTTGTAAGAAATATAACTGGGTTTTGGCTATTGGTTTGTTTTTTTTTGTTTTGTGGTTTTGTGGTTTTTTTTTTTTAGGAAAAGAACTAATTTTACAAAGTTTTGCACCTGTAACTATTACATCTGCTTTATTTTTAACTTCATTGTTTTTCAGGGGGATCAGATATTGAGTACCTAGATTTTTATAAGCCAGTGGTGTGGTTCTGGATCCTTGTTGGGCTAGCTTACTTTGCAGCTGTACTCAGCATGATTGGAGACTGGCTAAGAGTCATATCTAAAAAGACAAAGGAAGAGGTAAGAACATTTTAAAAGGGGAAGAAATATTGCTTTTTAAAAACTTTGATTAGAAGTCAGGTGAATTTATAGCTGCTTTTGCTCTTAGGGCATGGGTCAAAATTGTTTATGTATGAAGTATATGCTGCAGCTCAAACTGCAGCAAACTTTGCGGTAGTCTTGTCAAACAGCGATTTTCGCAGGGCTGCATATAAATTTAGGTGAAATGTATTGTTAAATTAAGTGTGTACTCACAATTGCACTTCACTTATAGGAAAAAATTCTCTGAAAGAGAGATTCTAGACAGTAAAATGAAGTCTTTAATTTTTGAGGTAAAATTAATTCTGCTTTGTTTTTTTTCTGTATGGAATGAGTATATAAAGAAGGTATATAACGAAAAATACTAAATCACTAAATAGTTATATTCAAGATACCTCTGATCATTTTATAGTGGTAAGAGAATAAATGTTTCATATCATGCATGGTATTGGTATGTATTATTTAAATATGCCTGGGTATATTTTACCATAGTATCTTCAGTGGCTTGCATAATTGTTTGCAGTCAGGTGCATTGCTTTCAGTTTAAAAAATATTTCTACTTATAAATGGATATTTATCATTCCAATGATGATACAATATTTTAAATGTTGTCATTTAGGAAAATATCCTGGTTTTGAAAATGCTAGACGATAAATTAAAATTTCCTTTGATTACAGCTAGCAGGGTTCAGGTTTCACGAGAAGTTTGAGAAATGAATTAATTTTGTTTGAAGCATCATATTATTTCCCTCTAATTTAACTTCGGTTCCTCTGCACGCCTCAGTTCATTTGTGTCACTCAAATATAAGGAGCCTGATTTTTTTTAAAATGGAATGACCATGTCGGTTACGGTGGCCGACAACTTGTATGGTTTTAAATTGCCTTCCTAGCTGCGGGGCACGGCAGCGGTGCCTCGGCGCAACCCTCGCGTTCCCAGAGACCTGGCGACGGAGGGTA